TGAAATGTTTTAATGTTCACCTCCTTGGGGACTCTGCATTGGGTAGAAAGGCAGCATGGACATGTCTTAAATAATAATAAATAAACTTGGCATTTGTATTGCAGCTCATGTGTGTTGGGGAGGAGCTTGCTTTGATTCAAACACATTGCCAGCAGTCTTTTTAATGGCGTAGGTTTTCATACTGTATTATTGGCTTGAGACAAGTTAAATGTTTTGGTTTGTATACATGTAGATTACAGTGTATTTGGGTGTGTCTAGAGCTGCTGTGCTATCATTCCACAACCCTTTCCAGAAAGGGTTAGCTGGAAATAGAGCTGTTTTAGCTTGTATTTTGTTTGGCTACTTTCTAATAGGGTCTGAGTGAATGTAGATTTGTTGCCTTCTGTCTTCCCTGAGCAATGCTTTGGTTCCAATCAATAAGTAACCTCTTTATTGTCCAGGGAATTTCGTCTGACAGGATGGCCATGAACCAAAATTATATATTTTAGCCCATGTGCCCTGCAGAGGTCCACCTCTGTGAGACCAACTGAAAAGTATCCAAATAAATGAGGCAAGACAGATCAAACTACTTAGACAATCCTAAACTGAACCAAGTTTGGGTAATTTGTGACTGTCAAGTCGATGGCACCCTTGGCAGCACTGGCATAAATGTTGGTCTCTGAAGGCCAACACTGATCAGGCTTTTCGCATCACTCAGGGAAGCTTTACTGGGTGGTATGTCACAGGCTTAACAAGGGCAGCGGAAGAGAAAGATCTTCCATTTCTTTGTTTGAAAAACCGCAGATCTCATGATAAGCCAAATTTGGCTCAAATGAACAGTCACATGTGCTCTAGGTGTCCCCTGACCATTCCTGTTCTGCCTCAGGCTCTCTGCAAACAAGGGATATGGGAAAATTTTCCTGGGTGCTGTTGTTTCATAGTTCGGCCTGGCTTTTGGAAGCTGAATCCTCAAGGCGAATGGGCATGTTCTCAAGAGGATTCTGAAATCTGATTGGCTACATCTCTGTGAGCAGGCCATCTGTGTTACTCCTCTTGCTTAGTCTAGGGCAGGTAGGTGGAGATTTGTGCTTTCAGCCAGTGATTAACTAATCAAATAGTGGTATGATTCTTGCCCCCTAGGGGGTGTCCTGCCATGTGTTTTAAGGTCAGGTATTATTTTGGAGATCCTCATGGTCATCATGGAGGTATCTGAGACAACCTTGGGTGGAAACGGGTCATTTCGTAGAAAAAGCTAGGGGAACTCCATTAGCATAACTCATTAGCATATGCCACACCCCCTGACATCAGGGGCCCGGCAGTGGACCTGCAAGGCCGGCGGAAGTGCGAGGAAGCTCCGCCAAGGCAGGCAGGGGTGGGGAGAGGCGGGGAGGAAGCAACTTACCCTCCCTCTTCTGCCTCCTCCTGGCTGAATGAGGGCTGGAAGCGGGGGGGGCCAGAAGCAGGGGGTGGGGCTTCATCATGTGCCCCGCCCCCTGCACCTCACCCGGGGGAACTGCGTTCCCCCCCGTTCCCCCCCGAAATGACCTCTGGGTGGAAAGTCCATTGTATAACTTACTGTTATGCCAACAGACTCTTCATCCTAGCCTTTGTGGGTTTTCAGTTTGATGACTCCATGTTGGAAACTTTGAATGGTGGTTGAGCAGGTCGCTTTCCCTCCCATCACTGCCTTTCTAGGCAGATGCTATATATGGATATCCATCTTGAGGCAACTTGACAATGGTATGCCCAGATTAATCTCATAGCCAGACCTGAGTAATAGCACAGGCAAAATTGGCAGAATTCCTTCAGAATTAAATAATGGAGAATGGCCATTTCTGTTTCAGGTGTGTTAGCAAGAACTGTGGGCATACTGCTACTTGATGGTCATATGCTTACCAGTTCTCTTGCTCAGCAGAAGACTTTGTTGCCTGTTTATCGCCTGTGTGGAGAGAGCTGTTGTCAAACGGTAGCTGGAATACTATGACCTGCCTGGGTCTCTTTTTTTTAAGAGACACATATAGGAACTGAGTGTCAGCAATTTTGATGTCATTCAGAAAGGATTGTTTGAAAAAGTATAAATGAACAGTATACCCTGGAGCTAGTTGTTATACAGACAGTGGCTGTATTTAGATGCCACAAGAAGGTACAATTGAAGGCCAGTTGGGCACAAACATCATTTGTTGCCGTGCTCATGCACTTTACCTTGTGCTTGCTCTGTGCCTTGATCAAGCTCCGATCCGCTGTGATGTCTGAATGAGGGTGCCTTGATGTATTGGAGGCTGGGCTCCTAAACCTCAGTTTAACCCCAGTTTAGAATCCCAGTGTGTGTGGAATATACAAACCCCAGCTCCCAGAGATGCCTGCATTCAGCAGTCATGGTGAGTTGGAGCTTGATCAAGTTGGAGATGCTTGGTTTAATTTATTTATTTATTTGTTCGACTTCTATACCGCTCCTTCCCGTAGGCTCGGAGCGGTTTACATGTAATGTAACTGAACAACAACAACAACAACAAAGTTATACCTATCTAGGGTGACAGCCTACCAGCGCCCAGGCAACAGGACTCTCTCTTTCTTCTCCCGGCTCCTTCATGGTGGGCACTTCACCTCCTGGCACAGCGTTGATGCTGGAGGAGAAAGGAGAAGTAAGGAACACAAGCATAGCTACAAATATCTTGTGTCTTTTTTCTTTTTAATGAATTTTTTAGCCGAAGCTAGTCATGAAGTCTGAATGCAGCTGCCATTCTTTAGGATCTGGGGCATGCTTTATTTCAACCAGCAGTACTGGCTATATGGTACACAGAAGTGGCATCTTCCTTCTTGGATTGTGCTTTGTGTCCAGGGTTGCCAGCTCTGGGTTGGGAAATACCTGGAGATTTTGGGGGTGGAGCCTGAGGAGGGCGAGGTTTGGGGGAAGGGGGAGACTTCAGTGAGGTATCGTGTCATAGAGTCCACCTTGCAAAGTGGCTGTTTCTCTGAGAGAACCATCTCTGTCACCTGGACATCAGTTGTAATCCCAGGAGATCTTCAGCTACCACCTGGAGGCTGGCAACTCTTTTTGTATCCTACTGCTTCTCTGAGCACAGTCTGAGGAAGAGCAACTTGTGTCAGAGGAAAGTTCCTTAGACTGGAGGAAGGCTTCGAGCTTTCAAGAGGGGAGTGTAACATAATGCTAGCTATTCTTTGAAATTATTCCAGGGACAAAACTTGGAGGTAATAGTAGAAATGGGGCAATGAATTGTGGGGGCTTTGGTTCTTTGATAGTGTAGGGTTGCCAAGTCAGAAGCGGCGCTGGAGCGGGGGACTCCAGTGCTGCTTCAGGAGTGCGCGTGCACCGCAACCCCATCACCCGGAAGTGATGTGGCCACGCCGGGCATGCTGGGGGCGGGGGCACGAACATCCGAGGGGAAACCATAGAGTTTTCCCTTGGATGACTGTGGCCCCGCCCACAGCGTGCCCGCGTCACTTCTGGGTGACGTGCATGTCGCGTGCTTTGGGGGTGGGGTTCCCCCGGGGCCCGATCCGCTGCCGCCAGGGAACGGGCCTCTGGGGCGGGGTTTTCCCCGCCCCCCTGGGGGGACTTGGCAAGCCTAAAATAGTGTCATAACACAAGAGTTGAGGGACAGTACAATTGATAGCGTCTCAACGTTTTGAAAAATATGACCTTATCTACACACCTGTTTCCCAACATTTTTCATAACTATAGCCCCTGCATAAATGTACCTTCTAATGTCATTGAGTATCAGTGATATCTCTCTGCCTCACTGCTATGTGAACTGTTATTGCTTTGTCTCCTATTCCTGTGTAACTTTACCAGCTCCGGTCTTTATTCACCATTGTATGAATACACCATTTCCAGTATCTCTTGCATTACTTCACTGTCACATTCCATAGGTAACCCCCGGTAACAGTAATCAGTCCTTGGGGCTTAACACACACAGCTCTCATCATCCCTCTTTAATCTCTCTTGTCACTTGGTACTCTAATGTTTTCCCTTCGTATTTTGAATAGCTCTAGGCAAGCCCGCCCCACTCTCTTTCAGTTAGTACGCTTCTGTGCTGATATTACTAACACAAGGCCCCATGTAACACCATGCAGGCTAGTGCCAAAGTCTTTCTGGGCCTTGTTCCAAGTCTCAGATACAGACTTCAAGTTATTCCATCTTAAGATAAAGCACTGAAACTTCAACATACACGTTGTGATATGGGTAAACAGGAATCTAGGTCATCATATTGTGCTTCCCTTCCCCCTCCCCCAAGTGAAGTAGGTTGAAAATGTTTCCAGAAAATTAATTTTTCCGTGGAAATGTTCCCACCCTGTACATGTGAACAGTTGTCAGTAGGGGTGTGCAAAAAAAATCCCCCCCCCCGATTTGGGTCTGTTGGACCCCCAAAATATTGGTATTCCTGAATACCAGTATCAGTATTGTATTGATATTGGGGTAAATAGTTCCCCTTTATACCCTTTGGGGACCATGCCCATAGGGTATAATGGAGAATTTCACTTGCCAAGTCGTGCTGCCGCCGCCATGCAACTCAGCGAGTGGACTGAGGTCATTTGAACTTTAAATGCCTTCTAGCTGTACCTGAATAAAAACCAAACAATGTTGGCTTTTATTTGGGTGTGGCTATTTCGGTAGCCAAATCAGATTGTCTAATCTGTATTTAGCTGAATAAATACAAGAAAAATACCAATGAGGTCTGTGTAGAGATGAAGATTGAACCTTAATGCTTGCTGCATGTGCTCTCCACTTCAGTGGAAATCGCTTCAGAGTAACCATGCTTATTTGGAAGTAAATGTCATGAGGGTGGGGTTGACAGTAAACTGTGTGGTCATTTATGCATTTGTGGCTGTGCTGCTACTCTTTGTGTTAACAATGAACTGCTTTTGCCTCTGTGTGTATGTGTGTGTGTGTGCGTTACATTTCTATCCTCCCCATAAAAGCTGATTAGGCAAATGCCAGTGTTTCCATATTTTCAGGGGACACAACTCTGGCTAAAACCCTATTTGTATTATTTTTGTAGGGAGACGTGGAAAACAAACCAGTAAATGGCTGCAGACCAGAGCTCATGGAATGTATTGCAAATGGCCATAGTGAAAAATGCAAGGTGAAACCAAACCAACCACTGCCTTGGGAAAATGCACAGACGCATGAAAAGGGAAGTATGACCGGTTTAGAAACTGAGAAGTGGGCGCAGAATGAGAAGCCATTGCTTAGCGTTCATGTGAACGGTGACCTCTGTGGAATCGGAGCAAGGAATGAAAATTTAAAGCATTCTGAAAAGGATGCCAAAACCATTTCTTCTTCCAGTGCGTTAGATGAGCCCAAAAAGTTGTTTGCACAAACTGTTAAAAATGGTATCAAAAGCATACCATATTCACCAGCAGAATGTGATTTGTCACTGAAAAAGGACGTGACCGGAAGTGCATATTCAACTGAAAGCTGCAAAGAGAATGACTCTGAAGCCTTTGAGACTGGTGCTTCTGTGCTGAACCACCTCGGCGCTTTGACAACTGGAATATGTGGTGCTCCTCCCTCCCCCAACAATCATGTTCTAGTGAAGCAGACGGAAAACTCTAATGCCATTCAAGAATCTCAGAACTCACTTTTGCAAACCATTTCACTTTTAGACCTGCAGGACAAGCCATTGTGTCCTCTTGTGCTTGAGGAAGATGGCTGTCTTGAGGATGGTGCTTCAAACATATCAAGCAAGGATTCCCAGCCTGAAGATTTGTCACTTCAATCAACTTTTTTATCACTGATTAAAAACAGAAATTTAACTGTTGAGCAGGTGGTTGCTATTGAGGCATTAACACGTCTGTCTGAAGTCTCTTTAGGTGCTGCTTCACCAGCGAAAACAGAAAGCGGTCAATGTACAGAGCAAGAAACAACGTCTCATTCACTTAACAATTACAGAAAGGAGAATTCTCATTCTTTGACATCAGCGCTGAAAGCAATTAAAGGGGCTTGTCCACCAAAAGACCAACAGCTTTTTCCTTGTGGTCATTCACAGAGAAAAATTCTTCCAAATAATTTGCTTTATAATGGTCAAAGTGCTACTTCTGAACTCCACAATAAATCTACCAGCTCATCTAGTTTATTGCGTCGATTACATTTCTCTCCAAGAGATACTAAGCCTTTCACTGCATTAGTGTCTGGTGGAAATTCAAGTCATACTACCAAGAAACATCCTCTTCATCATAAAGCTGCCATTGGGCCATGTTCCAAAAACTCAAATACTGTCAAACAACGGAGGAACAGAGTGGAAATGCTTGGGAAATGGGAGGGAAAGGCTATTCATGGCCTGAATTCAAAAAGTAATTCCGTAATTAAGGATGGTATTCATAGCCAAGATGAAGAAGACGTAGCTACCCAATTAACTCAACTTGCAGCAATAATTGAATCCACAAACCCAGATCAGAAGACATCATTTCTTAGTCGAATACCACCAGATATGCAATCAAAATATAAACAGGACCAGTGCCTATTGCAGAAGAAACAATCGGTATTCGTAAGGAACAATTATAGCGCGCTGCTAGTCAAGCAAAGGCAACCTGTGCGGAAAAATGACAAACCAGTACCCAGAGTAAAAAGATTAAAGAAGAAGCCTCAAGCCATGTCTGACCAACAAAATAGTCAACTGCAGCAAGAATGCCAGTTCAGTGATTTACAGGACAAACCAAGGAAGTCTTCTAAACTACGCAAGCCTAGTCGGATTGTACCACAAGACTCCAAGCTAACTGTGATGGGGAAAAAACCTTCTAAAACCAAAGTACGAAAGGCACGGAATCAGATGACTTTGCCATCACAGCAAAAACCAGCGATGTTATTTCTTCCCAAAACTCAAATAATATTCCATAGACCTTTACCTGCCTCAGCACAGGACAAAATGAAAGACAAAGTACTTAGCCATGAAATGGTGCCCAAACACATCAAAACCATGGGCTCTGGTGATGTGCAGAATGCTGATCCTCTACGTGGTGCATCTGTTGCTTTGCAACACAGTGGCCTACCCTCCTGTAATCTTCCAGCTGTTCCTCACTTAGACACACAGTCCTGTTTCAACCAAGGAAGTGAAAATATGCAGATGTTTACAGAAAAGGACAAGACTTCTCAGGTACAGCAAGCAATGAATCTTGCTCAGATGCATCCTTTGCCTCAGCCCTTCAGTCAATCCAGTCAAAGAAAGGATGAAATCTGTGCAGAAAACAAAGCAAAACTCCAGCCTGAGGCTGTGGAGCAAGAAAAGGGCCAGAAGCTTCAGGCCATACCCATTAATGGCGGGGAGCCCCCTTCAGAGTATCCATTGCAGACTCTCAGGAATGCTGAGGGTGCAGATGAAGTTAAGAGTCTAACATCAGGAAGTTTAGAGAACGAGAATCCACAGAGTACTAAGATCTTAGGAAATTCTCCAGCAAAAAATACACTCAGTAGCTTTCTCGAATCACCTATGAAATTCCTAGACACCCCGACAAAGAACCTAATTGATACTCCTACAAAGAGAGGACAGACTGATTTTCCATCTTGTGACTGCGTTGGTAAGTGCTGCTTCTTCATTACTCTTTCGAGTTTTAAAATGTGTGTTTTCTTTCAGAAGAATGCTCTAGGTGTTGGTAAACTAAAGCATTGCTTTTTGCCTCCCTCGAGGCCCAGGTGTCATGATCTCCCATCTCAACAGTAATGAATAAGAAGATTCCCTTGTATCACTCTAGATCCTATGTAGGTAACTGTTTTGGGATGGATTTCTTGAGGTTCTCTTAACTTCGCAGCTAGTTAGCTTTGGAGATTGTAAATAAAATGGCAGATCTATTGCCGCTGACCCATGTGGCTGTTGTTTTCTGTCCTCTCATTGGGCTCCAGTAGAACAGAGTGGTGGGGATATAGCTATTGTATTAATAATTCATTGTTATAATTATATTATACATAGGAATATTCTGCAGTCTGCGCAGACTCTGAAATCTTCTTTAATCCCAATTTGTAGTATGTGGCCCCTTTCAGGCCCATAGCCAGGATTCAGTGGATTGTGGGGCAATTTTTTTTTCTGGTGGGGCTGAAGTTCTCAGCACAGAAAGAAAAGCCTGAATTTTGAGGATTATGACTCAGCTACTGTGGAATCAAGCCTTTTAGAATCAAAGCATAGAGGCGTCTGCAAATCTTAGCCCCAGAGTGTGACAATAGCAGGCTGAGAAGCGGGGGGGGGATAAATTTTCTGATAGATGGTAGGCATGGCACTGGAAATGCTTATCTGGGTTTGGCCAGTAAACTCACTCCAGTTTGTATAAAAACACATACAACTTTATTTACAAAAAACAAAGGACATACAACACATAGATGGGGGAAAGAATGTGTACAGTTTAGCAAGGAATGCAAATCAAAGCGAAAAACCTAGCTGGTTATTCTACTCACTACTTTTCCTATCAGGCACAGTTAGGGTTGCCAAGTCGTGGTGGGGGATCGTGTGTCTTTGCAGAATCCGTGCCGCGGGGACGGCGAGACGCGTTGCACCCGCCGTCGCCAAGACATGACGCTATGCGTTGCTCTGGCAACGGGCATAGCAGCAGGGTAAAAGTTGCAGAGAGCTTCCAGGCAGAGTTTTCTCAAGTTGTTACCAGGATAGATCTCTAAATTGCAAGCTGTCAACCACTTTAGATGACCATTGTCAGCTGCTGCCAGTTAATCACTTCTGCCAGCCTAAGCAACAATTCTGATAACAAGCCTGCAGGTGGGGGTGATGACTACTATAGTCAAGAAAACTAACACTTAGGCAGAAAAACTGTCTCAAAGGAGACCAGTTTCTTGACACAAAGTTAGAAGGGATCCTAGAGGCCACCTACTCAAACCCCCTTGCTCAGTGCAGGAATTAGTCAACTACAGCACCCCACTCTGCTTAAAGGAGTGCACACCTTTTAAAAATGTTTTTAAATGATTGAAAAAAGCATTTACAGGAGAAATTCTTGTGGGTCTGTGCCTTTAAGAAAGGGGATGGAGCCCCCAAAAGCCCCACTGTAGTTATGGGCCTGGCCCCTTTGTAATTACAATATTCTTCCTCTTTTTGGCTCTTAAAAATAGAAAAGAAAATGGTGGTGGTACTGTCAATGTGACCAGCCGCAGGTCAGGGTTCAATCTCAATGTTAGTCATAACTCTACCATCGGAAGGTTGGAGTAGATGGTTTGGCCTCTGGCCATTGGAGGGGTCCTGTACTGACACTAGGAGAGGGTGCCACAGTAGGGTTCCCAAGTACTTACCGTGATCCGGCGGGGGAAACATGCTCCCCGGCCGGACTATTCCTCCCTGTAACACACCATGCCGTCGCCAGGAAGTGACACTGGATGACACTGTGGCAATGGGAGTGAAAGCTTGATGGTACCATCGAGTTTCCAGCCCCATTGCCATAGTGTCGCCTGGCATCACTTCCTGGCGACGGCATGGTGCGGCGCGTCTGTTGTCCCTGCAGGAATGATCCTGCAAGGACGTCTGTGTCCCCCGCCGAATCACGGTAAGTACTTGGGAAGCCTGTGCCACAGACATACTGATTGGTGAAATATCTTCATGGTGACTTCCATGGGACTTTGGGAGGCATTCTGAGCAATTCAAATTATTGTGTGAATGCATGAGTGTTTTATGTCGCATGTAGATGAAATTGTTAATATCTGTTTTTAACCCTTTCTGTAGAGCAAATTGTGGAGAAGGACGAAGGGCCATATTATACACACCTGGGAACAGGACCAAGTGTTGCCGCTGTGAGGGAAATAATGGAGGACAGGTGAGGAAAGAAGGAACCAGGAAATGATGGAAAATATTTGGATACCTATAAGCAGCAAAATAGGAAGGGAGGACACAATTTATTTGCTTAACACTAGTTGTAGAAAACACTTGTTGTAGAAAAAGAGCTGCCGGAGCTCATTAGCATAACTCATTAGTATAACTTATTTGCATATGCCACGCCCCCTGACATCACCGGAAGTGACAGAAGGCCACACCCCCTGACATCACCGGAAGTGTGTCAGAAGGCCCGGCTACTTACCCTCCTGCTTCATCCTCATTCCCAAACGGAATGAGGATCGAAGCAGAGGGCGGGGTAAAGAAGGGGCGGGGCTTCACCACGTGACCGCCCCGCCCCCTAGAGGTTCTCTTCCGGAGCTCCGTACCTGAGAGCTCCCCCCCGACTAGAGCCCTGCTAGTTACACAGAGTATTCCATGTCTTATTGCGCATGTCTATATTCCAGCATTTGAACTACAGTAACTGGAAAGCTAGATCCAAGTATTATATTTATTTATTTTATTTACATTAATACCCCACCTTTTCACCCCTATGGGCACCCAAAGTGGCTCACATCATTCTACTTTCCTCCATTTTATTCTCACAACATCCCTGTGAGGTTGGTTAGGTGGAGAGTGTGACTGGCTCAAGGTCACCCATTTAGCTTCTGTGACACAGTAGGGATTGGTACCTGGGTTTCCAGATCTTACTCTGACACTATAACCACTCATCACACTGGCTGTCAATCCTACCTGTTGAATCCTTCCAAGTGAGAGGGGCTGAGTACCTCCTAGTAAAAACATATTAATGGTTGTTGGTATTAGAAATCAGACGAGAAGTGAGTACATGTGGTTAAGGGGCTGGGAAGGTCCAGCTCTTCATTGTTGGTTCTTAAGAGCTGTATCCAAGACAGATAGTCAACTCCAGGAAGTAAATGAAGGGCAATATGGCCACCTGGAGGACTGGCTAAAGGCCATTAGGACAGTTCAGAGTACCACTCCGATACGGAGGAAGACTGATTTCCTGCACTTTCCGTACAGAATACTTTCTGTATCCTGTTTTTTCCAAAATGAAATGTCATCTCCAGTAGTATCTTTGAGGCAGGAAGATTTGTTTCTACTCAGCCCATGTTAACAGAATTAATTACTAGAAAACCTTATAATTTCCCCTCCTTTTCTTATCATTTCCCCTTTATACAGGTATGGAGCAAAAGGAAGTGCTGTAAGAATAGAAATAGTAGTGTATACAGGCAGAGAAGGAAAAAGTTCCCAGGGGTGTCCGATTGCCAAGTGGGTAAGTTTTTATTTTGTAGTAGTAATATATTTATTTGAATGCCAGAATTTTATTTTCTTTAATACACGTGTGTGTGCGTGTGTGTGTTAACTGCTGTCAGGTAGCTTCCAACTTATGGCAACTCTATGAATTAATATCCTCCAAAACATCCTATCGTTAACAACCTTGCTTGGGTCTTGCAAACTGAGGGCCGCGGCTTTCTTGATGGAGTCCATCCATCTCATGCTGGGTCTTCCTCTTTTCCTGCTTCCTTCAGCTTTTCCTAGCATTGTTGTCTTTTCCAGTGACTCTTGTCTTCTCATAATGTGACCAAAGTGTGATAGTCTCAGTCTGGTCATTTTAGCTTCTCGGGAGAGTTCAGGCTTGAGTTGATCTAGAATCCACCTATTTGTCTTTTTGGCAGCCAACGGAATCCATAAAGTGATTATAAACTACTTTTCTTCCAAACCCTTTTCCCCAAAAGACTTGGATCATTATTTTTGCTGACAGTATTAGCATATATTCTCTCAGTAATTCTTAGAACACCTGTAGGTAGGCCAGTATTATCCCCATATTTCAGACAGACGTGTGGCCGGCATGACTAAACACCAAGGCGCACGTAACACTGTTACCTTCCCACTGAAGTGGTACCTATTTATCTACTTGCAATTTCTTTCTTTCGAACTGCTAGGTTGGCAGGAGCTGGAACTAGAGACGGGAGCTCACTCCGTCATGCGGAACTACCGACCTTCCACAGCCTGCAGTTCAGCATCTTAACCACTTGAGCCACCGCAGCTCCTTGAGCCAAATTCCAGTTATTAAAAAAAAAACCAAAAATTGTGTTTTGAACTTAAGATACTAGAAGTCCAATGTAAATTTTTAAGGAGTTTAATGGAAAGTGTCCAAAATTAATAATTTCTATCATTTTTGTACTTTGGGTGATATTTCTACCCCAAGAACATTGTGAGGTAAACACCTGGAAGAGCCCCCTGTTTGCCATAAAGGCCTGTATTGTTCCAGAGCAACGTCAGAGGCTTTCTTGAAACAGTGTTTTTTGGGGAAAAAAACTAATGGCATATTTTCCCTACCCTAATACATTACGTGGGCTGGGGTTAAAAGCTACCCTAATGGTAAATGGGAAAATGCATAGATTTCTGAGGTTGTTTTTTGTTTACAGAAAGAAAACCATAAGTGACTGTATCTTGAGGACATTGCTTACTAATGTACAGATGACAGTGTCCTAGGAGGCAAAGGTTCTAGAGACACATTTCTCTGCATTCTGTCAAAAAGGTACAACCAGGTATTCCCCCTAAGGGTAGTTTGAAGGTTCTAATGGCCCATTCATGTTCTTACTAACATCCCATTCTGAAGACCTTATGCATTTGCAAACAAATCCTTAGATGGGGCATATCACAGTTCTATAGTGCAATCCTAAGCATGTATATAGAAGTAATACCCATTGAGGTCACTCAGATTTATTCCCTCTATTTAGGATTGCATCCCTAATCTCTGATGTTATCCTGCCTTTGCAAGGACTATTGTTCTGGTGTTTACACAGATATTTCGGTTAGGATTGGACATGCCACTAGTGAAAAAATGTTTGGTCAATTGCATGGCCAGATGTCAATATTTTAGGGCATTGCCATCCTTAGAACAATACATACCTTTTAATTAAAATGTTTGATGCTTGTGCTATCAGCAAAACCAGATTAAATGGTGTTGTGAAAGAATTAACTTAAAAAAATTATACTGAGTTACAGTTTTTTAACAATGCCAGCCCACATTTCTACAAGTGTAAGTGATTCCATGAAGAGATCTTCTCTTTGGTTTTTATTCTGGAACACCAGGATCTGTTTTTAGTTTTAAAATATTGAAATGAAATTAAAGACAAGTAAAGAAAACAGATATTAAAACAAAAGTAAGCCATTGTGCAAGTAGGAAGAAGGGCAATTGTAGTTCTCAACTAGATTTTCACCCCTATCCTCAGCATCAACTCATCATTTGTGTTCCCTTTTTCCTTCTTTATCTGAATAATGACTGTTGCAGGGCTAGAAAGCAAACAGTCCTGTCTCCTGTCCTTGCTTACAAATGATGCCATGAGGAAATAAAAAAGACATTGGTCACCTGCACAGTGACATTCTTGGCTTCATGGAATATGTGGTGGTTTGGCCTTGGTCAGCTGACTGGGATGCCAGTCCTAATTCGATTCAAGGCTTTAGTCACACAGACACCTTGTCACGTGGACACGCCTTACTTTCAGTAACAGTGAAGTACATCAAAATGCAACTCTTTACATAAGGGGCTCCTTTAAAGTATTTAAGGAGGCTAATTCAAATCAAGAAACCAGATTCCCAGAGTGAAACATCCAGTAAGATCAAAGGGAAAGGCCAGTCATTGAGACAAGAGGCCATATCATTCAGGTCTAAAACTACAACTTGTTTTTGAAATCTGATAAAGTCATTGTGTGGTTTTATATGGATTATACATCACAATCATGAGCAACAAAAGATCCAGATAAAATGGAAAAATGCAGCAGAGAACTGATTAAAATAAGCAAACAAAGAACTGATAATGAAAATAAGCAACACAAGCTTCTTCTTAGTAATGTACTTATAGGTATAGGGTTCTTTTCCCCTGTGAACACTACTGTTCTTAGTAATGTACTTATAGGTATAGGGTTCTTTTTCCCTGTGAACACTACTGTGTTGGATTCCCTGGGGGGCTAGACACTACCCTACAGAGTTTTGCCCATCCACATTTTCCTGCCTTACCCCACCGCACCAGGATTCCCAGAGGGGTTTTACAAACAGCTCTGGAGGACAGAATCTAGGCCTGGATGGGTAACTGAGGGATAATGTGGCAAACTGGCAGGAGCAAGAATGACGTTTATTTGTATAGAAACACAAGATTGAGATAAATACAAACAGTTAACCAGTGATTGTGGGGTGTTAGGTTTTATGCAGTATATGCTCAAAGAAAATCCCTTTGATGGGCAAGCTTATAACGCACAAAATATAGCACTACTGAAACACAGTTAAGACACCAGATCCAGCAAACCCTGGAGACTTAATCAAAGACCTGGTATTTTCATAGAACTTTTAATTCACCCGCCAGATGCGCTAACCCTCACAACTTCCAGCCTCCAACGCTCAACCTTCAAAAATCTAGCTGACCAAGCCTCCCTGTCAGAAGTTAACATTTCTCAGCCCACAGCACCTATTGGTTCATAACACTGCTGTCACTGGCTTTGATGTCACTGGGATACACTTCTGTGCTCTGGCCTGTCACAGCCACCCTTTCCAGCCGTGCCGAAACCAAGCGTGTCAGATCATGCTTAAGCACTTCACATTTATGCCCATACAGCAGGCTGAGTTTGAAAACGGGACATGGATTTGTTACTCTGTACTGTTTAATGTCACAGCGGTTGGAATGAGTCACTTGCAGTGTTTTGCCTTTATTTGCACGTGAACCAATACTCTGATATTTGAAGCTGAAACTCTGAAGTAAATGCCATTGGTCTTATTATCTCTTGTGTGCAACTGTGGCACCATTCATAGAAAATCTAATTACTTGATGAACTTGCCTGTTTTTCTGTTCCCGGAAAGTCAAGGGCAAGCCAAGGACAAGGTTTGTTCCATTGGATGTGCTATTTTATGAAGTCAATTTATTATGTAAATAAACATACACACACACTGGCTAAAGGCTATTTGCTTTGAGGCTCTTCTTGCACCTCTGAGACCGATGAGAAAACCTGTCTCTTACGGAGTTCCTCCATTTTATTTGAGTAGTATTGCCGGAGGTGTGTGATCAAGAAAATAGGCACTGTTTTGTCACAGAGATGTCTGTAGGCTGCTAAATTATAAATGCCATTTTCTTTGTCACAAAAAACTCACTCGAGCCATGCCTAGAGAAGGCGATTGAGCATGCGGGGGCTCCAAATTTATGGTAGGAACTGCATTTAAATACCGGAATGGCAAATAGTGACTTTATAAAGTAAAGACTCATAACCTTGAGAAACAATGCAGGGAGCTCTGCATATGGTTCTCATAAGTGTTGTTTTATTTTAAAAATTCCTTGAAGGACATTTAAATTTGATTATTACCAGTGGGGTTTTTTAAGTTTGCATTTTAACTCAACATAAATATCTGTATAATTTACCATTCCCTGCCCTGTGAGTTTCTGTTGCAGGCTTTACTGTGAGCTTTAGGGCTTGTTAACATTGAGTTTTCCCCAGAGCAGAACTATTTGTGTTGCACCTTGCCAGACAAAGGAATTGGTGTCGATTGCCAGGCTGCATCTGTGATCACTCTTAAACGAAGACAGCAGCAAATTTGAACAAATCTTTGTTGGCTGTAGGGTTGCCAAGTCCATCGGAAATGCTGGCAGGGGGATGGGGGGATGTTCCGGGAGCTGGAAGTGATGTTGCGTGATGTGCCTATGTCACTTCCAGGTAACATAGGCATGTCACATTTATTTCCGGCAACGCTGCTGCTTTTTTGGGGGGGAAGGATTTTTTCCTGCTGGCCGGCAGCAGGCAGGAGCCCGCAAAACCAGGGATCCCCCGCCCCCAACTGGGGAATGGGAACCCTACTTGGCTGGGCCTGGTGGAGTTGAGCCCCACTACTAGTGCATACAACGGCAACTGTAGCTTTAGCAAAGGACTTTGTTGCAGGGATGAAGTAGGAGAGCCTGTTCATTGGTTCTGTCAGCCAGATGGCGTTATCAATGGAGAGAGGAAGCATCTGGGTAGGAAAGATCTGGCCGCTGTGCTGCATGCCCTGATTACATCTAGATTGGTGGTTGAAAGTGTCATCAAGTCACAGCTGACTTATGAGGATCCTGTAGGGTTTTCAAGACAGGAGACAAGCAGAGGTGGTTTATTACTGCCTGCCTCCGTGTAGTAACCTTGAAGAGCCTTGGTCTCCTATCCAAGCACTAACCAGGGCTGACTCAGCTTAGCTTCTGAGAGCTGATGAAATCAGGCTAGTCTGGACCATCTGGGCGGAGCAACATCTAGATTA